GTGATGTTTACAAAAGTGGCAAAATTATATATTAATAACAACAAAACCACAAAATAGAAGTGCAAACCTTGCTTACATATTGCAATTCTTTAAAATACATTATCAAATCCAAATGTTTGCTCCTAATTAGATTAAATTTACATTTGAAATGTTCCCCTTTGTATTATAACAGTGATAAAATATACTGTCATTGTCATATACTATAATTGAGAATCTTGTAAACTCATAACAAAAACAAATAACAAAAAAAAAAAGAAACAAAAACAATTTTAACCTGGGTTTTAGGATCATCAATAAATAATGAACTCCAAAAAGTACATAGAAAATTTTTTTTAAAAACATTAGCCTACAAAAATAAATTAGCTCTGATACCGGTACTTTTTAAACAAATTTTACAGTAAAACTACAGCAACTGTTCATAGTTTTTTTAAGTCAAAAAGGTAATAAGCCTAGGTAGAATTAAGACTTGATACTCTTAAATGAATGTGACTTTTAAATAACTTATTTCTGTAGTGTAGGCCAATAACTTTTCTACAAATAAGTCTAATAAGTATTTATAATAAATACTTTTACTCTCCCTATGTATCATGACTATGAATGCAATGTAAAGATTTTCATAATAAATCAGATTAGCCAATAAGGCAGTGCTGTCCAATCTTTTTGAATACATAGGCCAAAATTTTTTTTCCCAGTACCTGAGGGCTGCAAATGACATCTCAAAAGAAATTTATTTATAAAATGAATACTTCTTACCTTATGAATAAAGAGTAATATAATATATCCAATAGCATTATTGGCTCATCAAGAATATAAATAAAAGTATTAAAAACTGTACCCATTTTTAATGATATATTTGGGTTTGAATTTTACTGTATTTGCCATTTTCTTATTTTGAGGTGCTTATCAGTACCCGGTAGCACTTGCCCTCATTAGATTTTCTAAATGTTCCCCAGTCAAAGTGTTACGTTTTTTGGACTTGATGTTTTGTCATTACGGAGAATCCAGCTTCACTGATGTAAGGTCCTCCCAAAAACGTGGTCAAAACGTTGTTACATATCCTGTTTTTTTCACAATGATACCCAGTGTCCCGAAAAAGTCTTTCGAGATGCCTATATGTCCCGTTTCTAAAACCAAACACATTTTCAAATCACTAAAACTTCCTAATTTATAATATAACTTCAAGTAATATTTTGGCTAGTTGTGTAGCCAGTGCCAGTAGTGATGGGGGCTCGCATGATGGCTGCGCTGTTCCCCCTTCACCATTCTGCCGACGCTGCGTAAAAGACAGTGTCCCTGCCATATTCACTGCAAAATTATTGTTTTCGTTTATGATATGCCTCAGAGTTTACATTAAATTACAAAAGTGAAGGTAAATTTAAAAAGATTTCTAGGTCTCGAAATAGTTAAAATGGGCATATTTCAATACCCGGTAAACAGTTTCCGGTGGGGGCCCCGAACCCCTCTTTAGCTGGAGGGTATCCCCCCAAACCCTCCTTGGGTGTGTCCTGTTTTTTCGAGTTCATGATTTGGTTACCCTACATTACATTGACCTGATATCTACACATCAAGCTATTTTTGGTTTCCCAATGAATTTTTCCAAACGTTGTTTGTAATTATACCTGATACCCTGTGACACCTCCCCTGTACAAGCAACAGAAAGAAGGGGAAGATAGTATTAGATTTTATGTCGACCAGGTTCCCAAATGGTTGCTCTGCTGAATTGCTTAATATTTATACTGCATTCTGTCAAGCCATCTGACTCCTTAGCTTTTGTGACCTCTCCCATTTCCATATTACAACTTCTCCTGTGCTCTCATGTGATTTCCCAACAATACTGAATAAATAAATGTGGTTTGAAAATATTTTAACCCTAAAATGTTCTTTTTTCACATCTCATAAAAATGGCTCATGCTGTGGTGGACCATTGAAAATTAGCTCACAGGCCGGCAGCCCATGGGTTGGACAGCAAATCTCTAATATTAAATATTAGTATTATTATTAAGTTTTAAAAAGTTTAATAAAAAGTCTAGTCCTTATTAGCCTAATAAATTTAATTATGACATAGTTGATAATATAATTATGCCTACGATTTAATGCTGCTAAAACAAAAACTGATAATTACTCAAGTAAATTACTGATTTGATATACTCATACTGTATTGTATGATATTTGTACTTATCACATTACATTCATTGTCATTGTTTGTAGGAAAATAAACTCAAGCCCATATTTATATATATAGTTGGCCTATGCTATACAGCGGTGTGCATTAGAACATTTTTTTTTAAAAATCTACACAACAAAAACTGATAGTTTCACTAGTTTCAGTGAATCACTCAATCAGCGAATCATTTATGATTTGACCGAGTGCGAGTCTCTCACTCTCACCTCATCACTCAGTTCTTGCAGTTGCAGTGTCTCTGGTTGACTTAAATTTTAATTGTTAAATTACAAATTAATAAATGTAACCCGTATTTTATTTTTTAATAAAGAATAGTGAAATAGCATTATTTTTATGATTTGCAATATATGATTGAACAGCTTACCTTAAACAGATTCTGAATCAGTGCAAAGAAAACAAAACGATGACTTTGTAATGTAAGTAATGTAACCAAAAGTGGTCGCCATACTGCAAAGCGGAACAACTCTGTAAAAAAGTAAATAGTTTGTTAACCATGGATACCTTCCCGCACAAAGAAATTTAAACCAATTAACCAATGATGAGCTTGACAACAAGTTTAAGTGGGCAAAACCATTTCATTTCCATTGTCATGGATTTATTATTTAAATATTTCAAAATCCATTAATATTTAATGCATAATTATTTGAAAATTAATTGAAATGTCAAAATTTTATTTGTTAAGTGAAAAAAAACAACGTTTGGGTTTTTAAAAAAAGTTGAAGTCAATAACTATAAATTATAGACAAATATCAATTATCCAAAAATAATTTATTATAGATAAGATTGCATTGCCGTTTTCATTAAACTTGGACTTGGCCTAATCGTAAAAATACAACATCTACTCGTTATAAAGTAAAGAGTGAACATATTGGTGACACATTTTACATTTGGTTCATACCGGTATGGTTGTTTTCGTTTTATGAATTATTATGTGACAATTATTATTATTAAAAAAACAAACTAAAACATTGCACCCATTAATGCATCTCATATATAAATATAAGTGTTTAAAGGGGTGGAGGGGGGTCCAAATTATTGACAATGCGAATATATGACAAACAAGGATGTCTACATTTTGTGACACGTTTGTGACGAAAAGGGAAAAAAAGTTTGTTTGTTTTTTTTGGGGGTGGGGGGGGGGTAAAAATCGACCAAAATATGATGGAGTCATTATGAACTATTAAATAGCAACGCCCTTCTTAATCATTGAGATCTGCGATTATTTACTGTGAATCTGTTATTCATAGTGTGAGCGAATCATCTGCTATATTTCAATTTTTGGCTTTGTTGTTCAAAGTCTTATCGATCGTCTAATATTACAACGCAGAAATGTTAAAACTTTCAAGTTATTCCTTTTTAGAATTAAAAAATGAAACAACTAAACATTTGTAATATACAGTCTACAATTGATGCGATGGACCCTATATTCCCCAGCATAGCATTTACCCCTTTCATTTCAGACTGTGAAGGAAATTTTAAAAAAAATATTTTTTTTTTAAATTAAAAAGAAAGAATTTCTATTAATAAAAGTAGAAAATAATTAAATATTATTAAAATGCATGACGCAAAGAAAGATTGTGCAGATGTGTAGATGAACACTCTATGTAGCCAAAGGATTCGAATCTAACGTTGAAGAAACTTAAAAAAATATTTTGTTTTTATTTATTTAAAAAATAATAATTTCTACTGCAGGTTAAAAAACAGATAGCATCCACCGTGATCTAGACTTTTGTTTGTTTTTTAGACCAAAAAAAAAAAAGAACAACAAAACAACAACAACAAAAATGATTTCAAAATGGTGTTCCTTAAGTGGCATCACATTGTACTCAATTCAAATTGAGGCAATTTCTGTGACGCCCCTAGCTGCCCTCCCAAGCTTTAATGATTATTTAGAGAGTAGAGAATGTTCATTCTAGGTAAATTTTAATTCTTCAGTAATTTTTTATGCCATTATTTTCAAAGAAAATGTCACATAGAAATTATAAAAAATATATAAAGAGAAATTTTCCAATTAACTGGTGCACCATTACCACAGAAAAAGTTAATCGCCAAGTTTACACAATGAAATCAATAAGTTAACAGTTTAACTGATTTTCATTTGTATAAGAAGTATGCGTTTGCTTTGATTGTATTAAATTAATCAACATCCATAATTTACTGTCTTTGTACAACTATTATTTTTAGAGAATTATACGTTAGTCAGGGTTTATATTTCATCAACTCATTACCCAAATAATTCATAGGGCCAGGGTGATGTCAATAATGCTATTTTCAGAGCTTTCAATATTATAGTTATTTAATGAATTCAAAGCACAACATTAATAATAATAATAAAGTTCATTTAAAAAACACGCTTCATCCCCAAAGGCTCGAAGCGCGGTACAAAGTCAACAAAAACATATCTATAATTCACCACATTTAAAACAAACGCAACACTACAAAAACTAATTACAAGCATACAATATCAAAGTCTTTCTAGCCATTTCAACCCGGAGCAACACAGCAACACATGGAAAATAAGGTAGACAATCATCCCAGAAGGTATTTGCGAAATAGATGTGTCTTTAGGACTCCAGTGTCTGGTTGTTTCTAAGATCGACAGGAAGGGCGTTCCAAATTGTTGGACCAGCAAATGCGAAAGTGCGCTTTCCGTAAGTCTCAAGGCAAACACGTGGTGTCGAGAGTTTGCCACTATCGGATGAGCTGAGCTCTCTACTGGGTACATAAGGCGTTTTTTTTTTTAGGGTCATAAGTTTATCGTCTATCTCAACGTATTGCCGGCTTAAAAGTAAGGACCGGACCTGGAAACGGAAACTGCGCAAGCGCATTGAGTAAAATACAGTACGTGGCATTGTTTCTGTCACTGAAGTAAACAACTCTTAAGAGATACAAAACGAACACTTAAAATGAATACCTACTACTTATTGCCCGTCACTGTACTGCTGACGTTATTTAGTGTTTCTGAATCATACTTTATAAGTATTGATGCTCATGCTGAAGAATGCTTTTTTGATAAAGTTACATCTGGCACTAAAATGAGCCTGATGTTTGAAGTTGCAGAAGGAGGGTTCCTGGATATTGACATTAAAGTAGGATTGTTAACGCATTTAAATAATTTGGGCTATCTCGTATATTAGAGTTCTGAATTAAATACATTTCACAAATGACCAAAAGCTCTTGCCCTTTTATTAAAAGTATTTTTATCTCCCTTCAAAATTGCAGAAACAAAATTAATAATAATATGTAGGGTACGGGTAGGCAGCAGCAGTGTAGTAACACAAGTAACGTAACAGTGTAGTGGTAAATATCACGTAAGTAACCTGGTAATTGTTGGTAAATTTTGGGTTAGCTGTCTGGTCACTTTTGGAAATACCAACACTGGACTTAGACTCTAGAGTGAATAGAAATAAACCAGTTCTTTGACCTGCTGAGCCTGAACGAAGTGTGTGACTGACAACTTTCCCAGGGCCATTCTTTACTGAGCATTATTCAAATTCATGTCATTAACTAAATCTGACGAGCGATACAGTTAATATAAATATGTTCAAATGAAATTTTTCATACAATTTTATTAAAATTCAAATTACAAGTTTCTAAAGAATGAAAAAAGAAACACATCCTTGCCGAGGCTTGCCGATAAACTAAAATAAACACCGGTGGAAAAAAACCACATGCGCTTGAAGTTCTGTCTTTGGATTAGTTGAAAATGGAAGTACCCATATGCTAAAAATTCGGTAACAAAAGGGGTGACAACTTCATTGTATTCATAGTTCATAGTTTATTAAGTTACTATTTATTTATAATGGCAATGGAATAACATCAAAATTCATTATTAAAATTAATCTTGAAAATAAAAGTCGTATTAAATGATCATTAAAATGACGGCTGTAGCCCTTGACGCTAATATCTGAATTGGGTCACAGAATATGTAAATATAATCCAAACAAACAAACTCGTACTTTGATGAAAATTCATAGCTAAAAAATGTACCAAAGAAGTTGATTTTGATTTCATTTTTTAATTTAAGTTTTCTCTATTCTTAATTATACTATACTACTTTGATGATTAAAATTATCTTTTTTCTGAAGTACCTAATCAGTTCACTGTAATAATCTGGGGAGGGCACCAAACCTCTCCCCCCACTTTAAAAAAAAAACAAAAAAACACCCCCCCCCCCCCTCCCAGTAAAAAATCAACATCTTTGGAATATGAAGTTAACCTGGGGGGAACCTCTATTAACCCATATACCATGGAGCGCATAGCTCGCTATACCATTAACGCAGATGGCTGGCACTACGTACACCACAGCGGTGTACCTAGCAAAACTATTGACTTTGGCCTGCATACACCGTAGCAATTTAAAGTATCAAAACCATGGTCTTTGCGAGTCTTTAATTTTTTGGCCTAACAAGTACTTGTAGATTTAATGTTACACTCTTGTTAAAACTGAAAACTATTTATTTAAAAATCGTCAAGTACCTTGGGAGGAAGATATTGAGTAAGTTCCACGCTTATGTGGCAAAGTACTTGTAGAGCACTTCTTATTATTTATTGCTAGGGCTGGGGTTTAATGTTAAACCATGTTTTATTTTCCCCCATATATTGAAATACAAATATATTTATTAATTGTTGTAAGTTTTATCCTATGATTGTGAATCTTAATAGGCTTAAAAAGGTGTGCATGATAATTATGACATTGTATGTGATCCCTAGGGGCTTGGTGTAAAAATGAATGGGAAGCCAATGTATCTATTTTGTTAGCACCAAGATATAATTATGGCACAAATACATTAAGGGAAGAGATTCACATTCATTGATCGTGAAGTTAAGTTGTCCGAGGCATTGTCATTTGTTGTGCGGACGTCGTCCTTTGTAGACAACCTCTATCTAGAGACGTGATTTGTGTAGGCCCCCTTTTTGGTTAAGCCTCTGCCCATAAACCCCCTGCAAGGATAGATTTCTTAACAAAAAAACAACAAATTAAATAACTTTGAAATAGCGAAAATCCTGTGCCAAGCGATTGTGCAATGGTTCCTGTGAGAAAACGTTGTGTTTTACCCTGAGAATAGCACATGCCATGCCATTTTGGAAACATATTCCATCATGAACAGGGTAAGCGAAGACCTATGGCTTTGCTATACAGTTTGCTACCGCGCCATAAGCTTCTAAAATCGTGGTGTTTTCAAAAGATTTGCTACGAGACTGAGGGCTGTGAATGAACAGTTGATATCGTGTGTACATTTTACCAATGTCTAGTGAAAGCAAGATGGTTGAAATACGACCATGTACATTAATATTCATATGATATTATTGATATACTGGTATTTTCTTTGGGTGTTAGTAAAAAGTAAAATGTAAATATTCAACTACACGAAGAATGTTGAAATACGATAAAATATGGCTTAGTATTCAAAATGTTTCTCTTATACATGTTACATACACTATACATGCGCTTTCAGAAACTTTCAGTTTGTTTTTTTAATGTTGCTAAAATTACCGGTATTTATAAAGTCAAAGGCCGGCACAACTTGTTGAAACACTTTGTAATCTGAATATAACATATATTTAAATTGTTTAAATTGCTAAAAACTTTTCATGAAACTGCTGTTGCAAATGAACATGATAATTTAAATATAAAATATTTTTAATAAAAATGGGAAGAAAAAAAAAAACTCGATCCACTACTAGGAATGGATCTCAAAATATAATATCACCAAGCGTCCACTCTACCACTTAACCACACAAGATCTTCTCTAACAGGCATATCTTAAAACCAGGCCAATGGTACATTTTTGCCTCAGTGTACCCAGGCCAAAGCCGATGATTTCGCTAGGTACACCGCCGCAGTGTATGCATCCACTTCGAACCCAAATTCAGCAAGCCAAGTAGCCCTTAAGTAGGCTAACTAAATTATTATTGTTAATTCATGTCAGTATTGAAAATGCCTTTGTGATTGCTTCTTATAATAATTAGGCATAGTAGGAGAATTAAAATATAATTTTGAAAAAGTAAATTTAGGCCTCAATAAAGAATTGGAAAAAATTAAATAATTAAATACCGGTAATTAATTTCATTGCTTATTGTTTAGATTGAGGCGTGCCATTGGGATTACACCTGTTCTGTGTTTTGAGTTAATGGATCTCTACTCTCCCCAAATGGCAAGCCACTGATTAAATGCTTACTTTGCTTTTTACAGTATCATCCAAATTAACTAAATTAGGCTACTGGTTGAAAATGTTTATAATAAATATGAGCCTAACTTCAGGCCTATGAGTTCTCCATCAAACCACTAGTGTGGCTAAAATTTTGCTGAAGACTAAATAACATGTTAGATAATTTAGAATGCCAAAAAAAAAACAAGACTACTCAATAGTTTAATGGTAATAATCATAGAAAAATATTTCATTTATTATATAGACCCAGGTATTTAACTTAAGACGTAAGTCGGGTGAAAAATTGAGATTAGGTTAAACCATATGATGCATAGTGTTTTGTGTAGGCTACTTGAATCTCTCTGTCTTGTTTAGCATCTTTCTATTCTGTAGACATTGCAAATCAAGGCATCCAGGGGAACTCATTTATCATCGACTACTTTTAAAAAGCCTTAATTCTCTGCTTGTTTCCTTATTTATTCTGATGCACCCACACATTTAGTAAAACAGGGCCCCCCCCATAAGTACATATAAATGAGCTTTTCAAACATCCCCAAGCTCTCACCCCCCAAACCACCTGTTTCAATTTTTTAGACTATTACAAGACATATACCGGTACAAGATATTTTTGTGACTGCAGCTGTCTATTGAGCGTAGCAAGTATCAAATTACCCAAACTCTATAAATAAATGGTCAATCTTCGGTTCAGTCCAACTCAATAATGTAGTCACAAATTACTTTGTTGGGTGAAAGTTGTTACCAGGTTAAATCAATCATTACATAACATTGCAGTTATCGTTTTACATCCTTTTTATGGTTTGTCAGAATTTCCGGACAGTTATTTCAGAATATGTGTATTTAATGTACGTACACAAGACCCCTCCACCTCCCCATAGGTACTGTATGCCAAATCAACATTTTAATAGCCCAGATGGGTGAGAAAAGGTAGACATTGTCAAAAGATCTGACTATTTTGATCAACTGCGTTCATTTGACAGAAAAAGGTGTTTTTTTAACTGGTCATAATTTTGGCTTATTTTAATTAAAATGTCTCTTTTCTCATCAACTATTAATTTTTTGATGATGACAGATTGATTTTTAATATATTTTTAAGTCGGCAAACCTATGAACAAAGTTGAGTTATTTCTCTTCGCTCTGCACTAAAGGTACTTTCCTAATCAATGCTTTGCCACTGAAAGGTTTAATAAGGATGCCACAAATATTGCTCTTTCTTTGTATTCCAGATCTATGGTCCCGATGGGAAAATAATTCATTCTGGTGACAGGGAGTCCAATGGAAAGTATACCTTTGCCGCTCACATGGATGGCAACTACAAGTACTGTTTTAGCAATGCCATGTCAACAATGACCCCGAAAATTGTTGTGTTCTCTATTGATGTGGGAGAGAAACCTAAAGATGCCGGTGGAGAGGAAGGGGACGGTAGGCAATTTTGTTGTACCATCACAGCTTCAAAAGCATTTTGAACACAATTTAAACACTGATAATGTTTCTTTTTAACTGTAGAGCAATTTTACACTTGATTAATTATCTTTTTATATGTTGAGAGAAAACTGAGAACTTATTCCTGATCATTGAAATAAATTGTTGAAATAAGTGAAGTGCATGTTGCTGTACAAAAACATGATGGACCAACCACCAAGTTCATGAGTTGCTGGAAAGGGCTTACACTTATTCTTGTTAAATTGCAGCCAACCAAAATAAACTGACCGAGATGATTAATGAGCTGTCCACGGCACTGACGGGGGTGAAGCACGAACAAGAGTACATGGAGGTCAGAGAGAGGATTCACAGATCAAGTAAGTTGACGTGGGTCGGAGGAGAATTCTTACTTAAACTCCAGGACGACTAATAAGCGAGTTCTCACTTTTTGAAGTTGACTGAAGTTTGACAATAATCTTTAATTGAATGGGTTTACTGAATCAGCTCATCATAAACAACAATCATAAACAACAATCATAAACGACAATCATAAATAATTTAATAGGTGTTGGCTTTAATTTTTTTTAAAATTGTTTATTTACATAATGACTCAATTCTCTGGTTTATTTGATAGCAGGTACTTTACAATGACTAGATGTACTGACATAATTACATAAATATCAAGTAAAATTGATTCCTTAAAATAAATAGATATATTTACATGAGATTTTGCTCTAAGTTGTAGCTTATGTGTCATGAGATTTTGCTCTATCCTGTTGATTTACTGACATGAGATTTTGCTCTATCCTGTTGATTGACTGACATGAGATTTTGCTCTATCCTGTAGACTGACTTACATGAGATTTTGTTTTATCCTGTAGATGTACTGACATGAGATTTTGCTCTTTCCTGTAGATGTACTGACATGAGATTTGGCTCTATCCTGTAGATGTACTGACATGAGATTTTGCTCTTTCCTGTAGATGTACTGACATGAGATTTTGCTCTTTCCTGTAGATGTACTGACATGAGATTTTGCTCTATCCTGTAGATGTACTGACATGAGATTTTGCTCTATCCTGTAGATGTACTGACATGAGATTTTGCTCTATCCTATTGATGTACTACCATGAGATCCAGGTCTGCAGACCCATCTAAAATTTTTGCTCTTATGTTTTTATTTCAGTTAATGACAACACCAACTCAAGAGTGGTTCTGTGGTCTTTCTTTGAGGCCCTCGTGCTGGTGGCCATGACTTTAGGACAGGTTTACTATCTCAAGCGATTCTTTGAAGTCCGACGTGTGGTCTGATATTTTTAAGCAGTTGTACAATATAAACATCATTTATTTTTTTATTCCATAGTTTTTTTAGAAGTTAAATTAAAAACAGCAATTTAAACATTGATGAAACTTGTGGCTTATGCTTCAAACTAAATTAAATCATTATTTAGAGGTGATCATTTTCAATAGTTTTGTTTATTGCCTAGGTACATGATGCCATTTCATAAAATAACTTACGGCACGCCAGTGATAAAGCAGAAAACTTGATACATGTTTCTATGATCAAACTTTTTATGCCATTCACTTCAAAGTTGAGAAATTCTTGCATTGATGAGTATGGTTACTCCCTGCTCACCAAGCAATGGTCCTTACATTTCTGTTAAATAATTCCAGCTGCCGTTTGTATGTATCAGGGGTCACCATTCTGTGTTATTTATCACTGGCTGCCATTTGACATTTCAACTTTGTTTAGTTGCTCATATTTTCACATGCCTTAGGTTTTAATTAATATTTAAATTATTTTACTCTTCCTCTGTTGGGCACTGATGATGTTGATGGATGAATGGATGGTTGATTGTTGTGTAGGATGAATAGTTGGAGATATCAGGGGCATGGCTGTCATAATAGGTAAGCAACATGTGAGAAATTGGCTCTTTTAGTTTCCATATCCTCAATTTCTATCCCCCCCTTTTTTTTGGTCTGGAGTGTATCCAAAATTAATTGTATTTTAGAGTTAAATTATCAGATCGTTTGGATTTGAGTAAAAGAATTCAAACTGCTATCATCTGGCTCTGATATAATTCCAACATGGGTGGCACATTTAAGATTTAGGATTGAACAAATGTGTCAGATGAGAAATATTGAAATAATTTATTAAAAAATTTTAGGCCTTGGAGATGAAGGGAAATGCAACCGCTTAGATATTAGTACTGCAAGACATTGGTACATTTATAATGTAAGACACTGATAATTTAAGAAATTAGTTCTGTAAGATTTTGGTTCTGTCAGGGATTGGCACTGTCAGATATTGGTACTGTAAGGGATTGGCACTGTCAGATATTGGTACTGTCAGGGATTGGCACTGTCAGATATTGGTACTGTCAGGGATGGGCGCTGTCAGATATTGGTACTGAAAGACATTGGTAATGTAAGACTTTGATAATAATTGAAGTAGCTATGTTGTGTGAGGTGAAGGTCATATGGTACGCTGTGAATATTTGTAATCTTCTTGGTAACAGGGTGGGTAACTGAGATTGTATGGTTGAACAATAAACAAATGTAAGATTCTGTCCCTTGTCTCTTGTTTTATTTCAATGAAGTCTTTTATTGGACTGATGTGGTGAGTTTTAAGCATTCAACTATTTGACTAAATCACTTACATTTTTTATTTGACAGTAAAGAGGTAAAGCAATCTTTTTGTCATTAGAGTAGTTTTACTAGAACAATTGACAAGACATAAAATGATGGTAACAACACAAAGAAACAATTATATACCAGTGTATATAATATATATATCTATATATATTTGCTTTCGCCCGTCACAATGTTACGATAGCGTAGATTTTGCAGGACGAAATCACAAGCCGTGGACTATTTCTTTAGCTGGTTCCTTAGACAGCAAATCACCTCTCTCTATGCATCTTGATAACCTAAGAGATCATGTGTGAAAGATACAGCTTGCCACCAGTAACGCCATAGGAGTGTCAGCAATTTTCATTGTGTCAATGTCATATCACCTACGGGACTCCATCTCTGGTTTGAATTTATGCTTCATGCAGATGACACCACCATGGCAGATTGAATGTGTCGGTGTCATCACCATGGCAGGCTGGATGTGTCTGTGTCATCACCATGGCAGGCTGGATGTGCCGGTGACACTAATGGCGGTGTAGATACACATCTTCATAGAGGGAGCCACATGAAAAAATGTTCACTTAATTGAACTAAGCTCACTGTCACAAACTCACATACTTTGCTTTGGTTATGTGTGAAAACAATTTGATAAATCGGTAGTACATTGTATAACATTTGGTACAACGAATGGTCATTCATCACACAATATTTGGTACATTAAATGGTCATACATCATACATTATTTGGTACAACAAATGGTCATACATCATACAATATTTGGTACAACAAATGGTCATTTATCATACAATCTTTGGTACAAGTGGTCAAATATCATACAATATTTGGTACCGGTACAACAAATGATTATGCAATAGTTGGTCCAACAACTGGTCATACATCATACAATATTTGGTCAAACAAATGGTCATACATCATACAATATTTGGTACAACAAATGGTCATACATCATACAATATTTGGTCAAACAAATAGTAATTCATCAATAAGTTAAATAATAATATTTGGTGCAAAAGCTGTTTTTGGGTTAGGACTGCTGGCTTACTTACAAAATGAAGGTATTTTAGGATACAAAACACGTTTGTGCTAACCACATTGGTTTGGGATAATAAATAAAAAATTTGTTACCACAGGGGCCAGGAATATCTAATATAATCTAACGTCAAGTTTGTGCTAACCATAGGGGATAGGGATAACTAATGTCAAGTTTGTGCTAACCACAGGGGATAAGGATAACTAATGTGAAGTTTGTGCTAACCACAGTGGATAGGGATAACTAATGTCGCGTTTGTTCTAACCACATGGGGTAGGGATAATAAATGTTAAGTTTGTGCTAACCACATGAGTTAGGGATATCTAATGTCAAGTTTGTGCTAACCAGATGAGGTAGGGATATCTAATGTCAAGTTTGTGCTAACCACAGGGGATAAGGATAATTAATGTCACTTAACAAAGTCCTCAAGTTCGTGTTGTGGTCTTTAAAGAACTTATCCAGGTATCTGCTGGACTCGACATCCATGGGTGGATACTTACGTCCCTTGTTGGAACTCAGACAACCCGTCTCTGTCAGGCAGTAGAATCCCTTCTCTTCTTGATATCTGGAGGAGACATGGTGGGTAGAGTTGTACTGTCTGAGAGAATACTAGGGTAGTGTAGTGTATGAGAGAATACTAGGAGACATGGTGGGTAGAGTTGTACTGTTTGAGAGAATACTAGGTGACATATGTTACAACTGTAGGTGGGAATGCTAGTAACATATGTTACAACTGTAAGGGGTAATGCTAGGATTAGGTAATATCTTGGCTGCCTTAAGTCACAGTGGGTTGACATCGTACTAAAGTAGATACAGCATTGGGCACTTACTCTAGCTTGACACCAACATTGGGCACTTACTATAGCTTGCCGCAAACAATGGGCACTTACTCTAGCTTGTCGCCAACAATGGGAACTTACTCTAGCTTGCCACCAACATTGTGCACTTACTCTAGTTACTCTAGCTTGCCACCAACATTGGGCACTTACTCTAGCTTGCCACCAACATTGGGCACTTACTCTAGCTTGCCACCTACAGTGGGCACTTACTCTAGCTTGCCGCCAACAATGGGCACTTACTCTAGCCTGCCACCAATATTGGGCACTTACTCTAGCCTGCCACCAATATTGGGCACTTACTCTAGCCTGCCACCAATATTGGGCACTTACTCTAGCCTGCCACCAATATTGGGCACACACCAACATTGGGCACTTACTCTAGCCTGCCACCAACATTGGGCACTTACTCTAGCCTGCCACCAACATTGGGCACTTACTCTAGCTTGCCGCCAACAGTGGGCACTTACTCTAGCCTTCCACCAATATTGGGCACTTACTCTAGCCTGCCACCAATATTGGGCACTTACTCTAGCCTGCCGCCAACATTGGGCACTTACTCTAGCCTGCCACCAATATTGGGCACTTACTCTAGCTTGCCACCAACATTGGGCACTTACTCTAGCCTGCCGCCAACATTGGGCACTTACTCTAGCCTGCCTCCAATATTGGGCACTTAATCTAGCTTGCCACCAACATTGGGCACTTACACTAGCTTTCCGCCAACATTGGGCACTTACTCTAGCTTTTTGACAACATTGGGCACTTACTCTAGCTTGCCACCAACATTGGGCACTTACTCTAGATTTCCTCCAACATTGGGCACTTATTCTAGCTTTCCACCAACATTGGGCACTTACTCTAGCTTTCCACCAACATTGGGCACTTACTCTAGCTTGCCACCAACATTGGGCACTTACTCTAGCTTGCCACCATCAACGGGCACTTACTCTAGCTTTCCGCCAACATTGGGGACTTACTCTAGCTTGCCACCAACATTGGGCACTTACTCTAGCTTGCCACCATCAATGGGCACTTACTCTAGCTTGCCACCAACATTGGGCACTTACTCTAGCTTGCCACCATCAATGGGCACTTACTCTAGCTTGCCGCTGTAGTCTATGAAAGGTTGCACCCCAGCAAATATCTGCAGATTGTTTAAGACAGTGATTGGATCTTTGGACAGTTGGTCGCCGTCAATGAGAAGGATCTGGAATAAAACAAGGATATGTAGAGATTGAATGGTACCCGCACTGAGAAAAACAAATGCATCTATTGTACTGATTACTGATATTATACAATGAGTATTTCGGGAGTTTTGAGATGCTGTGAGATGTGTTATTTCGTAGTACCGGGTAAGTGTTCATTGAAAAAAAAAATTCCACACACCTTTACTGATCAAAATGACGATGTAAATCTTAAAGCAGTGATCTCACGTGATTAGTAATCATCTCACGTGATTAGTAATCATCTCACGTGATTAGTAATCATCTCACATGATTAGTAATCGTCTCACGTGATTAGTAATCATCTCACGTGATTAGTAATCACCTCAGCTGCCTAACAGTCTTCGCAACCGGTATAGCAGTAATGTTATGTGGGGTTTTGATGCATCCTGTAGCAGTCATGTTTCGTGATTTCACATCCTTATCAGTCAGATCGCTTGCAGTTCGATTAACTTAAAAGTGAATTTCGTTTAACCCACCTGTGTATTCAATATTTCACCCGGGAATCAGTTATTTGACCTTTGTAACATTTATCTCATGTGTGTATCAGTTACCTCACCTTTTTTATCAGTTACCTCACCCTTGTATCAGTACCTGACATGTGTATCATGTACCTCTGCTGATTAACACTTACCTTACATGTGTATCATTTATCTCATAATGTGTATCAGTTACCTCACCTTTGTATCAGTTACCTTTTTCGGTGTACCAGTTACCTCACCCTTGTATCAGTTAACTTACATGTGTATCATGTACCTCTCCTGATTAACACTTACCTTACATATGTATCATTTATCTCATATGTGTATCAGTTACCTCACATTTGTATCAGTTACTTCACCCTTGTATCAGTTACCTTACATGTGTATCATGTACCTCTCCTGATTAGCACTTACCTTACATGTGTATCACGTATCTCATATGTGTATCAGTTACCTCACCCGTGTATCATTTATCTCATATGTGTATCAGTTACCTCACCCATGTATCAGTTACCTCACCCGTGTATCAGTTACCTCGTGTGCGTGGCAAAGATCTCACCTGTTGCTGGGGGAAGAACTGCAGCCACCTGGCCAGGTGGACGGCATACATGCCAGGTTTCAGACAACGGTTCCTGGCATCTCTCAGGAACCTCGGGGCAGTCTCTGGTGCGCTGACCACTTCGAAGAACGTGTAGTTCATGACAACTGGGTCATCGTGTGACCGCATGTGCTGGGGATGTAAGACAACTGGGTCATCATGTGACCGCATGTGCTGGGGGTATAACATTACTGGGTCATCATGTGACCGAATGTGCTGGGGGTATAACATTACTGGGTCATCATGTGACCGCATGTGCTGGGGGTATAACATTGCTGGGTCATCATGTGACCGCATGTGCTAGGAATGTAATGTAACATTAGTGGGTCATCATGTGACCACATGTGATGGGGATGTAATGTAACATTAGTGGGTCATCATGTGACCACATGTGCTGGGAATGTAATGTAACATTAGTGGGTTATCATGTGACCACATGTGCTGGGAATGTAATGTAACATTAGTGGGTCATCATGTGACCAAATGTGCTGGGAATGTAATGTAACATTAGTGGGTCATCATGTGACCGCATGTGCTGGGAATTTAATGTAATATTAGTGGGTCATCATGTGACCGCATGTGCTGGGAATGTAATGTAACATTAGTGGGTCATCATGTGACCACATGTGCTGGGAATGTAATGTAACATTAGTGGGTCATCATGTGACCACATGTGATGGGGATGTAAGACAACTGGGTCATCATGTGACCACATGTGATGGGGATGTAAGACAACTGGGGCATCATGTGACCACATGTGATGGGGATGTAAGACAACTGGGTCATCATGTGACCACATGTGATGGGGATGTAAGACAACTGGGTCATCATGTGACCTCATGTGATGGGGATGTAAGACAACTGGGTCATCATGTGACCACATGTGATGGGGATGTAAGACAACTGGGTCATCATGTGACCACATGTGATGGGGATGTAAGACAACTGGGTCATCATGTGACCACATGTGATGGGGATGTAAGACAACTGGGTCATCATGTGACCGCATGTGATGGGGATGTAAGACAACTGGGTCATCATGTGACCACATGTGATGGGGATGTAAGACAACTGGGTCATCATGTGACCACATGTGATGGGGATGTAAGACAACTGGGTCATCATGCGACCACATGTGATGGGGATATAAATTTACTGGATCATAGTGTGATTGCATGTGATGCAGTGGCGCTGGAAGGGGGTGCAGAATGGGGGTGCATGAAGGGGTGCTGGAGGGGTGGCATTTTTGTCTTTATATTTGAGGGTGGCATTTTCGGCCAATTGCAGGTCTTTCTTTGACGAAGGGGTGGCTAAAAGCTTGGCCCACCCCGGGTGGCACCAATCCTAGACACGCCACTGATGTGCTGGAGATAAAGAGTAACTGGGTCATGTGCTGGTGAACTTTATACATATTTAATATTTACTCATTACATTTATTCATGAAAGTAATTAATGTCCACGATAAGCAAAATCTCTTTAGATGCTACATAGGGATTACATTCCAAGGGCCGGAACTCACATGATACCAAGAGTAAGCTCGCCTGGCTGGCTCGCTGACGATGATGACGATCTTGGCCCTCGGCAACAAGGCGTAGATTCTCTTGGGAGCCAGCTCATTGTCAAAGTAGTTGGCGCTCTTCTCAAACAGAATGGTTCGGGGATCGTTTGGCTCGGGGAAATGCTCCTGATACCTGCCACAAAGATACAACAGACAAGGAGATGTCACTCTCAAACAGACAAGGAGATGGCACTCTCAACGACAGACAAGGGGATGGCACTCTCAACGACAGACAAGGGGATGGCACTCTCAACGACAGAGGCTTTGTGAATGAGGTGGTCAGTAACCAATTTAGGCTAAGTTCTAGGCCGTCAATTTAATTAAGGCTGTCATCGTTACAGCAGGGTTTCTTTCAGGCATACCTCCGGGGGGGGGGGGGGAGTGCAGGCCGCCCCCCCCCCCCACGAAAAAAAAATATAACCAACTATAATTTCGTACCAAAAAGAACGACTAAATGTTATTTTTAGAAACTTTTTAGAAAGTAATAGAAATGCTCGCCTTTCACCGATTACAATCAATGGAACCAATAAAATATCGCTGCGTTCAATATATATTGATCCATAGCGTTCAGGTTAATTTTGATACAGGCTTACAGATTTCGATTATAAATATCGCATTATTTTGAAGATTGGCTGCTAGTGATCATAAGCGAAAAAATACTTTTTATTATTCGGATAAATTGGTATTTTTAAAATTTATATTTTGCAGCTTCATTAGTTGAAAGACTTTAATAACACTGTATTAAACTAACTTTACATCGATATGAAGGTCTTTCATTTCGATTTAAGCCTAAATTTGAATGTAATCGATTCCACCCATGTCTATTGAGTTAGATAAAATGAAAACTTTTTTAAAAATGGACATTTAATTTTTTTTTAAAGTAGGAATTAAACAGTTGCATACAAATGTTGGACATTTCATCAAAAATGAATAAATCGAGTATGTTTCTTATTTCGTAACACAGTTTCGGGAACAACAGAGTAAATGTTGTTTTAAAAAAAATAAAATAAAATGCATAAACTATATTTATAAAATCCGAAATGACTTATCTCTTTTTAATATTACAGTAAGAAAACAATCTTCACCAGCTTTTTGAACGCATTTAAAAAAAGTCTGTTTTTAGATAAGTCGGTATAAAAAATATATGTATAAACAACTGTTAAAAAAAAAAAATCAACACGATTAGCATTTCGATTATCTTGCAAACTCCATTTTTTGGGAGTAGTGAAACATAAATTGTTTGGAATTTGTAAAAAAAATAAAATTTAAGTATATCGGAGAGGAAATTAGAATATTGGGAATTTAAATTTTATTTTTTATACAATTCCCTCAGATAAAATTGCACACTAATAAATATATGAATGTATTTTGTAAACAAGGCATGTCTTCTTAACATAAATTTGCCTGTTATGTACGACTTGTAACAAAAATACCAATTTTGAAAAATCCATAAAAAATACATAGACCTTTCTAAAAAGAGTTATTGAATTTCATTTTGACTCTGGTAAAACTTGGAAATATATATAAACGCATGCTTTTGGTTTTTCTTTTTTGTTCAACATGTAATATAATTTTTAAACTATTTTCTGTCAGTCTCTAAGAGTGTTTGCCTACATTACTATTAATCAAGGGACCAACCATTCGAGTCCATTGAGGTAGTTTTTGCCAATAAAGAACTGAATCTCCTCAAAGTAAACAGGATCTTGTTTGCTGCTCTTCAGTGAGGGATGCGCTTCCAGGAATCTGAGAAGAGCTGTAGTTCCTGAAATTATGGGATATAATGGAATTAAAAGTCCATCAATGCTCTTTTTTTTGTTTGTTGACATTGTCTGTTTTTCTAAGGAACCACAATCAAATATTTCGGACATTATATTTTTTGAGTAGTGTATATTTGTTAATTTTGTTCCATTTTTTTTTTCCATACCAAGTATCTGAACATTACCTGTTTTCTGAGGACCCACAATGATGAGTTTTGGCAGCCTTCTGCAAGATTTCTCTTCAGGCCAAATTTCTCTGTGTTTCTCGGAGTCACATGGGTTCTGGTGGACATAATTTAATATCTGAACTATCCAACAAGCGGGTGTGGAATAATCCTAAACTAACGGAACGTACAAAACTGAGCGTCCATTACGCATGCGTGCTTAGTACGCCCATATATGGCAGTGAAGTGTGGACCACACATGCCAGTCATGAGCGGAAACTCGACAGCTTCCATCTAAGATGTCTGCGTAGCATTTTACGCATTCGATGACAGGACAAGGTGCTTAACACAGAGACGTGCAAAAAATGTTTAGCATATTCTCCGCTCTTAGCAAGAGGCACCTTCGCTGGTTAGGCAATGTGAGGAGAATGGACGAAGGCCGTATCACAAAGAAGCTGCTGTATGGAGAGTAGGCAGCATGCACAACACTCAATGGGCGGCAACGGCTGCAATTTATTGATGTTTATAAAAGGAGCTTGACGGAAGCCAACATAGAGCTCAACGAATGGGAGCTTATCGCTGAAGAAACGTTCCAGCTGGCGAACAGTAGTATATGAAGGAGTCAAAAAGGCAGCAGATGCGCGATTCGAACCCCTTGCAACAACAAGTGCATTAAGGAAGGTCACATTTTAATCAGGCGTCAATGTTCACCTGCGATGAGGGCAACCGAGACTGTCATTCCAGGATTGGCCTCTTTAGTCATTTAATGAAGTGCCCATAGTTACTCCGTCTCACGAAGGTTGGAGGAGGCCAAATTTAAAGTTTTAATTTTACTAGACTTCCCATCATATCCACGACTGAGAACAAATTTGACAACTTACTGTCCAACATTTTTCTTAAACACAGCTAATATCAACACATAATCCATAACCTACTGTCCACACATATTACATTACAAAACCTACTGTCCTAACATATTACATTGACAAAACCTACTGTCCACACATATTTGATTGACAAAACCTACTGTCCACACATATTTGATTGAAAAAACCTACTGTCCTCACATATTTCATTGACAAAACCTACTGTCCTCACATATTTCATTGACAAAACCTACTGTCCTCACATATTTCATTGACAAAACCTACTTTCCTCACATATTTCATTGACAAAACCTACTGTCCTCACATATTTCATTGACAAAACCTACTGTCCACACATATTTCATTCACACAACCTACTGTCCACACATATTTCATTGACACAACCTACTGTCCTCAAATATTACATTGACACAACCTACTGTCCTCACATATTACATTGACACAACCTACTATCCACACATATATTTCCCTAGGACAACCTTCTGTCCACATATAGTTTATTGACACAACCTACTGTCCACACATATATCAGTGACACAACCTACTGTCCACACATAGTTCATTGACACAACCAACTGTCTACACATATTTCATTGACACAACTTATGTCCACACATAGTTCATTGACACAACCTACTGTCCACACATAGTTCATTGACACAACCAACTGTCTACACATATTTCATTGACACAACTTATGTCCACACATAGTTCATTAACAAAACCTACTGTCCACACATATTTCATTGACACAACCTACTGTCCTCACATATTACATTGACACAACCTACTGTCTACACATAGTTCATTGACACAACCTACTGTCCACACATAGTTCATTGACACAACCTACTGTCCACACATAGTTCATTGACACAACCTACGTTCCACACATAGTTCATTGACACAACCTACTGTCTGCACATATTTCATTGACTCAATCTACTTTCCACACATAGTTCATTGACACAACCTACTGTCCACACATAGTTCATTGAAACAACCTACTGTCCACACATAGTTCATTGACACAACCTACTGTCCACACATAGTTCATTGACACAACCTACTGTTCACACAAAGTTCATTGACACAACCTACTGTCCACACATAGTTCATTGATACAACCTACGTTCCACACATAGTTCATTGACACAACCTACTGTTCACACATAGTTCACTGACACAACCTACTGTCCACACATAGTTCATTGACACAACCTACTGTCCACACATAGTTCACTGACACAACCTACTGTCCACACATAGTTCATTGACACAACCTACTGTCCAGACATAGTTCATTGACACAACCTACTGTCCACACATAGTTCACTGACACAACCTACTGTCCACACATAGTTCATTGACACAACCTACTGTCCACACATAGTTCATTGACACAACCTACTGTCCACACATAGTTCATTGACACAACCTACTGTCCACACATAGTTCACTGACACAACCTACTGTCCACACGGGATTGATTTCCTGTGGATACATCGAGAAATAACGCCTGGCTATCTCAGCTGGCGGTGGGGACAGTAGACGGAGGTTGGTCCAGGTCAGCACGAACTCAATGACCTTCTCAAAGGCGTACATGGCAAGTCGGTCATTGGCGTAGTTTGACATATGGGTCATGAATATCATCACCTGTGTGGAAACACATAGGGGTCATTATTTCATAGGAAGATAGATATGGTGGGCATGAGTGTATCCCCTAGGAACATTGACATATGAGTTATGTATATCAGCAAATGGGAACCTAGATGTGGTGATCATGTGTGGAGCACCTAGGGACATTGACATTTTGTTTATTATCACCCGAAAGGTTACCTAAACAATTTGTTTCCCTTGACCCTGACAACTCACCGGTGTACTTAGGAATAGATTGAAGAGAAATCCTCCCCTGATGCTGTAGTCCAGCTGCTCTTTGCCGCCAGGGTAGTCTTCAAAATTGACAGTTTTAGTGTAGAGTCTACACGTTTGACGGGGAACCACCTACAAGACAGACAAGACAGTTTTAGTGTAGAGTCTACAAGTTTGACATGGAACCACCTACAAGACAGACAAGACAGTTGTAGTGTAGAGTCTACAAGTTTGACGTGGAACCACCTACAAGACAGACAAGACAGTCTTAGTGTAGAGTCTACAAGTTTGACGGAGAACCACCTACAAGACAGACAAGACAGTTATAGTGTAGAGTCTACAAGTTTGATGGGGGACCACCTACAAGACAGACAAGACAGTTATAGTGTAGAGTCTACAAGTTTGATGGGGGACCACCTACAAGGCAGACAAGACAGTTATAGTGTAGAGTCTACAAGTTTGATGGGGAACCACCTACAAGGCAGACAAGACAGTTATAGTGTAGAGTCTACAAGTTTGATGGGGAACCACCTACAAGGCAGACAAGACAGTTATAGTGTAGAGTCTACAAGTTTGATGGGGGACCACCTACAAGGCAGACAAGACAGTTATAGTGTAGAGTCTACAAGTTTGATGGGGAACCACCTACAAGGCAGACAAGACAGTTATAGTGTAGAGTCTACAAGTTTGATGGGGAACCACCTACAAGGCAGACAAGACAGTTATAGTGTAGAGTCTACAAGTTTGATGGAGAACCACCTACAAGGCAGACAAGACAGTTATAGTGTAGAGTCTACAAGTTTGATGGGGAACCACGTACAAGACGGACAAGACAGTTGTAGTGTAGAGTCTACAAGTTTGATGGGGAACCACCTACAAGACAGACAAGACAGTTTTAGTGTAGATCAGCGGTTCCCACTTTGTTCCCCGCCCTCTGGAACTATATACCCATCCCTACCCCACTCAAAGTGTTACAATGTTTTTTTATATTCAAAATAATTGTAAGAAATATAAGAATGTTAATTAACATTCAAAAAGTTATGTACTTTTATTCATTCAGTAATACATTTTATTAACGATCCCTTATGTAAGCACAGCTTACTTAAAGTAGGATTATGATTAGGCAATTGGTAATGGTAACTTACATATCGCTCAATTATGATTACTCTATATCTTAAGGGCCCACGATCAATGTATCGATCATTTTGGCTCCTGTTACACTAGTCTTCGAATGGGCCCTCATAACATTTTAAAATCAAAACTTTGAATTGGCTTTTCATCAGGAAACAACCTAATTCAACTACAACTTAACATGGATTATCAACTAATCTAAAATTTCAATGTAAAAAGATCAGAAAATAATTCAGAGAGTTTGATATTGTACCATACTAAATATGGTCACGTGATATTTAAACAGATGCGTCACTAAGGGAGCGGAGCGTTCCTGATGACACCACCTTCATAGGAGGGAAGTGATTCCAAATGGAAAATTGCTCATTTGACATTGTTAATACAAGAACATGAGCAGGTTGTCAATAATTCAGGGTACTACAATATCAGGTTGCACCCAAGAACAATGTCTCACCATCGCATGTTGCTTTAACAAAAGGGGTGTCAGAGCTTGTCACCAGATCAGGGTGTAATGAGGTAGAGAAGGGTGCCATCTGAGTAGATTGGCACAAGAGGAAGTTGTCATCAGAGCAGGCTGCAAACAGAAAGGTTGTCACCAGAGCAGTCAGACTCAGGTCCAAAAGGAAGTCTGTCAAAGAGGTTGTCACCATGGGCTTATCTCATTGGGTAGCACCAACCCATGACGCACTGAGTAACACCAAACAAAGTGACGTCACTGTGTAATACCAAACCTAGTGACGCCACGCGACTGGGTAGCACAAACCCTAGTGCCATAACTTGGTAACACTAACCCTTGTTAGATCTCACACCTGGCCACCACTGGGATCTCACACCAGGCCACCACTGGGATCTCACACCAGGCCACCACTGGGATCTCACACCAGGCCACCACTGGGATCTCACACCAGGCCACCACTGGGATCTCACACCAGGCCACCACTGGGATCTCACACCAGGCCACCACTGGGATCTCACACCAGGCCACCACTGGGATCTCATCCCAGGCCACCACTGGGATCTCACCCCAGGCCACCACTGGGATCACAGTGACAAAACAAACACCCTACCATAATTCCTCTGTGGATAAAACCTCGCCGACCCCACTGCGGTGTTATACTGGGATACTCCTCTGTACTGCTGCAGACCACGCCCCTTTTAATCCATTCGTCATACACCATCTCCAAGGCAGGATACACCCCCGAGTGATGAGGTGTCACCATGTAGTCTTTCACGACACGTATCTTGTGTTTCTGAAGGGAAAAAAAATGAACAACAAAAAAAAAAACCCCAAAATCCCCGAAACCCTAACTCACCCCCAAAAACCCAAAATCCCCAAAACCCTAACTCAACCCCCAAAACCCTAACTCACCCCCAAAACCCTAACTCACCCCCAAAACCCTAACTCACCCCCAAAACCCTAACTCACCCCCAAAACCCTAACTCACCCCCAAAACCCTAACTCACCCCCAAAACCCGAACGCCCTATAAACCCCACATCCTTAAAATAACAACTGACCCAAAACCCTGAACTACTCAAAAAACCCGAGCAGTCTAACACAGTGCTGTCTAAACCCATGGCCAACGTGTTGATTTTAAATGGCCCCCCACTGCTTCAGACATTTTTGTGATGTGTGTAAAAATATTTTACTTTAGTGTAAAACTATTTTCAAAGCACATTTATTAATTCATTGTTGTTGGAAAGTCAAGTAAGAGTACCTGTGCATGCAAAGTTGTAACATGGAGAAGGGGAGGTCACACATGCTGAGGAGCGGGGGATGGCTTAACAGGCAGAAGTAATTTATGTTAAGCACATCAGCGTAGCAACTTTTGGGAACCAGGGTGATATGAAATCGAATGCTATCTTCCCTTTCTTTCCGTTGCTTGTCGCATGGTGTCGGGTATAATTAATTACTGACGGCGTTGGGGAGCTTAAGTTGGGAAACCAAAAGTAACTTGACATGTACCGGTATGAGCTATTTGGGGCAATGTAGCAATGACCATGTCCCCACACAACGGTACCAAGATGGATGCAATAGATAAGTAGGCATTGCGACTTAACTACTGCCAAGAAAGTCTTGGAGTCAGAGTAATCGAGAAGGGATGGGGATACTAAAGGTGTCACAACAGAACGACTACGAGGGACAATGTGAACCATTTATGACACCATGTTAAAGGTGTCACAACAGAACGACTACGAGGGGCATTGTGAGCCATTTATGACACCATGTTAAAGGTGTCACAACAGAACGACTACGAGGGACAGTGTGAACCATTTATAACACCATGTTAAAGGTGTCACAACAGAACGGCTACGTTGGGAAGTGTGAACCATTTATGACACCATGTTTAAAGTGTCACAACAGAACGACTACGAGGGGCAGTGTGAACCATTTATGACACCATGTTATTGAAACAGGAAGTCTAGTCAGCTGTGAGAGAGCTCGTCTCCCTGTATTTTTTGTGACGTTGGTGACAAGTACCTGGTATACATATAACTGAGTACGGGATGTACAATGAATAGAAAGCAGGATACAACCTGTGTTTGTTTGTAGTCAGTGCAATTCAGTCAGGAGGAGTTTTTTTTAAAAATATCCAAACATAAGAATGCATGGCCAAATAAATCATAGATGACTTAAAATGAAACATTCTTCTGATAAATTTCCACAACTATGAGAATGTTGTAACAAAAGGTTGACCATGTTCTTGGAAGCACCTTATCAATGAACCTGGATTCTCTGTAAAGACCAGCATGGTCTGAAACGCTTTTACTTCCCCGCTGAACATTTAGAAAATCCAAATGAGGGCAGGTGCTACTCCTAACTTCATCAAATTAAGAACACTGTAAGAACAATTCAAAGCAAAATATATCATTAAAAATTGCTACAGTTTTTATTCGTATTACTTATATTCTTGATAAGCCAACACTGCCATTGGATATAATGTTACTCTTTATGCATAAGGTAAGCAGTAATAATAATAATAACACTTTTCTCCTGAGGTGTCCTTATTGGACCTCGGTCGGCCGGACATTTTTAGTGTGGCCCACAAAGTCAAAAATGTTGGACAGCACTGATCTAACACATCTCCTGGTGTGGGAGTTCAACTTCTGATATGAAAACACCGCATAAACCGACTAATCAAGAAAGCTGAGAACATAACACAAACTAAATATCCTTCACTTGAAGAACTATTTGAAGAAAGATGTTATTGTAAAACTAAACACATTTTGGCTGATACATCCCACCCTCTTCATCACAAAAACTTAGGATCGGGCCGTTCGGGACGAATCCTTTCCGTCAGGGCGAGGACTGAAAGATCGAAACATTCTTTTGTTCCCCAATCTGTATGAATTTACCAGCGTGCTCCCTCCTGAAGTCATACATCTGAATGGGAACTAATTAAGTCCCCGATTTGGCAAAGGAAATTCACGGAACGGCTCTTTTTTTTTTACTACTTTAATCGTTTATTATAAATGTCTTGCGTTCAAATTGTTTTATTTATGTGCTGAAAGTGTACAATGCAATCAAAAAACATTTCCATTTATTTGGATCAATAAAAGAATCTAATCTTATCTTATCTTATCAAGAGTGTCACCCTATGTTCACAAGTATGATCTAACACATCAAGAGTGTCACCCTATCTTTACAAGTCTGATCGAACACATCAAAGTTTCACCCTATGATCTTACCTCAGCAAATATTGTATTGTTGTCCAAGGACAATTTGAAGATGGACCCGTTCTGAGTGTGCGGCTGCTCATGCCGGTACATGTGGTTAAACCACTGGAAGTGTTCAGCCAGCTCTAGTTGGAAACAGTTTTTTTGTCTTTAAACATCAGAAATTGAAATCACTTTAAGTTTTTACTTTTATTTATTTGACCTAACCTGTTAACACTAACCTTTGACCTGTCTGCCACTAACCTTTGACCTGTCTGCCAATGACCTACTACTCGCATTGGCAACCTCTAGCAAAATTTTTTTTCTTCTTCTTAATGACCTGATCAAATTGAAATCCTCAAACAACCAATGTTCAATGTGTCTATGACCTACTTACAAGTCTTCTGTCTCCGGCCTGTTCCAGGGGCGTCCCTGCCAACAACCAATGTTCAATCTGTCTATGACCTACCTACAAGTCTTCTGTCTCCGGCCTTTTCCAGGGGCGTCCCTGCCAACAACCAATGTTCAATGTGTCTATGACCTACCTATAAGTCTTCTGTCTCCGGCCTGTTCCAGGGGCGTCCCTGCCAACAACCAATGTTCAATGTGTCTATGACCTACCTACAAGTCTTCTGTCTCCGGCCTGTTCCAGGGGCGTCCCTGCCAGCAACCAATGTTCAATCTTTCTATGACCTACCTACAAGTCTTCTGTCTCTGGCATGTTCCAGGGGCGTCCCTGCCAACAACCAATGTTCAATGTGTCTATGACCTACCTACAAGTCTTCTGTCTCCGGACTGTTCCAGGGGCGTCCCTGCCAAGAACCAGCCACCGGAAAATCCCAAGAAGTAACTGAAGTTTGGAATATAATGACGAATTCTGTTCTGACTGGCCACCATTTCCTTGGAAAAAAAATATGCCGTCCTCACGAGGGTTCTCAAAACAACAAGGAAATTTAATAGTTTCATTAATTCGTAAGTGACATGTGTTTTTTAAGGGGTAGTGGTGTAGGAAGGGGCATGAGCGCCCGCAGGGGGGGGGGCAAGGGGGCAGTTGCTCCCCCCCTGGATTGATTGGATAAAATTTTTTTAGACAAAAATAGACAAACAATTTATTTAAGTAAAGAGAAAATAAAGAGAAAGTAACTAAGCTGTTGTCCTGTCCGTTCGTTCACCATACAAATACGCTACAGTAAATTAAAACTACATTAAAACATTACTAAAAAAATTCCCCCCCCCCTGGAAAGTTAATCGATTTTTTGCCCCCCCCTCCCCCCAGAAAGTTTTCTGCCGGAAAAGAAAAAATAAAAAGAAAGTACCTAAGCTTTTGTCCTGTCCGTTCGTTCACCATACAAATACGCTACAGAAAATTAAAACTACATTAAAACATTACTAAAAAAATTCCCCCCCCCCTGGAAAGTTAATCGATTTTTTGCCCCCCCCTCCCCCCAGAAAGTTTTCTGCCGGCGCCCATGGGAAGGGTTGCAAAGGTTGTGGTCATCCTCGGTCAGCAATTTTCTTTAAATGGCGGTAGGAATTTTAGGCCAAATGCAGAGTTTTTTTCTTATAAGGAGGAAGGCAAAATTATTGCTAACCCTAGCAACGCCACTGACAAGAGTATGATGATGTCAAGATATTTTTTTTCTAAATTTAGTTTACGTAAACAATGGCTCAGCTATAATTGATTTGTTTCCATATGTCAAGTTGATGTATGACATTAAAGAAGATTAATGAAATTATTTAAAGACCCCCAAGTACCTCAGCATCCCTGGCGTGTGTCCGAATGCCTGTGTGACCCACGAACATGTCATCGATGTCGATCTGAAGCAGACGGTCCAGGGGGAGCCCGAGCCTCCCATTGGTCAGATACGTCATGGCGTCCATAGCAATGATGGCGTTGAGCCAGAAACTAAGATCTAGGCCAAGGATCACCCGCTCGACCCCGTCTAGAAGTCCTGGAAGATGTGCACACGTTTGTTAGGTCAAAAACATAGGCATTATGACTTCCCGTCTTAAATATGTCAGAGGTGCATGGCCATCTGAAACAAGAACTTTCCCAATGATCACTTTCATGACCCTGAAACTAACGCTGTTAGCGAGAGCGACAGCCTATTGCATAAACAGCTGCGACAGCCTATTGCGTGAACAGCTGCGACAGCCTATTGCATAAACAGCTGCGACAGCCTATTGTAAGAGCAGCTGCGACAGCCTATTGTATGAACAGCTACGACAGCCTATTGCATGAACAGCTGCGACAGCCTATTGCATAAACAGCTGCGACAGCCTATTGTAAGAACAGCTGCGACAGCCTATTGTATGAACAGCTGCGACAGCCTATTGTATGAACAGCTGCGACAGCCTATTGTATGAACAGCTGCGACAGCCTATTGTATGAACAGCTGCGACAGCCTATTGTATGAACAGCTGCGACAGCCTATTGTAAGAACAGCTGCGACAGCCTATTGTATGAACAGCGTTGCATTTTCAGAAGTAATTTTTTTAAATTTTTAATTCTTATCTTGTGTAACTTTGAGCACACCTGTAATTTATTAAACTAAACAAACAAATGTCCAGACAAGAAGAAAACATGGAACGATATCTAAATCAAGTCTCATTTCTTTCCCAAACACCCGACCATATTCCATCATGTCGTTATTTACCATTGGAGTTGAAATAACTATATTTTTTTTCTCCACATCAAGGAATGAGTTTAATCAAATAATTGCTCCTCTTAATTCTCAAAGAAATGTCGCTTTCGATGGTGTGAAATTTCAAACATTCATTTTATGAAAGCATCTGGTAAATAGCTAGAAAAATTTCACCTATAAAGTATTAAGAAAAAAATGGAGAGTGTTGGTCATATGACAAGTGTTTACATGTAATTGTTGCTTACATAGCAATGACTTCTGGATATACTGACGACAGCGACACTTACCTCTGTCGTGCAATGCAACAACACAACCAAATTCTTGCTTGCTTACATTGGTCCCCGATCCACGCCACGTGGGATCCACTGTAGAGAAAGCTACAGGCCTGTACGTGCTATGTTTGACCGAGAAGATCGTCCAGTCAGAAGAGGGCAGATCTTCCAACCACACCATATCGCGCTTGGCAACGCGCCAAAAATCCACTTCCGTGTTAAGCTTGAACTTCTTCAACTTCAAGCCGTGCTGGAGCTTCAACTTGAACTCCACCGACACCTCGGTTTCTGAACTCCGTTTCGACTGCGTCAGCGCCAAGATTCCGACTTTGTATTTCTTGCAGTAGTCATCCAGCAGGGATCTACGCCGGGCATCCAGACGTAAATAGGAGGCGTAATCGTCGAACACGAGCAGCACGTAGCGGGGGACGTTGAGGTCAGAGAGCACCAACGTCGGGACGTCTCCGGTGACGAGTGTGGTCCGGTATTCGATCCGCTGGTGCGCGAAGAACTGACCTAGCACAATGACCTGCGGCGACCCGAGGTCCCCCACAAAGACCAGGACCTTTTTCAGCGGGATTTGATGGTCGAGCTTTGGGGCGGCCTGAAAGGGCGCACCTATCGGGATGTTGCCGTGAAGCTTTTCATTGAAATAAAACCCAAGTGGGTTGTCTTGAACCAGGTAATCGTCAACCAAGGGTTGCTCGTTGGCTGCCAGGTCACCCACGTCACGAGCTGCCCTCGCGGCCATCAGGTCAGAGTTCATTTTAGAGCGTATTCCAAGGGCGACACCCGACGCGTTGATCAACAGGAGCGTCACCCAGGTGAGACCCATGGAAAATAAGATGGTGACTATTTTGAAAAGGGAGCATCGCTTCATCGAGCAGACGCGCCCCAACAAAGTCAGCACCCACACCGCCACTTGCCGTATCGTCACCCTCGTCATTGAGAGCATGTCAACACACGTGATCTTGGGCACGAGATGTCATACAATGACAAACTCACTCTGAAATGTCATCTCTATCGTGAGCCCATCTCGTTTGAGCGTCTGAAATAACACATGGAAGAGGTTTATTCGAGTGGTTCTCATCCAAAGCGATACACACCACCAAATTTGGATATTGTGACTTTTTAAATTTTAAAAAAAAATAATGATAATTCCATAGTAATACCAAAGATACTACTGTTGGTATTTTGGTCTGATAGTCTGTATGATGTTTATTGATCTATTGTCTGTGGTATCTTGCTGTATTATCTGTAATATGTTGGTCTATTTGTCTGTGATATGTTGGTCTATCATCAGTGGTATGTTGTCTATTGGTCTATTGTCTGTTGGTCTCTTGTATGTTGGTCCATGTGTCCATTGATCTATTAATCTTTTGGTATATTGTAAATAGGTATTTTTTTCTATTGTATTTGGTCTGTTGTCTTTTGGTATGTTGGTATATTGTCTTTTGTCTATTGTCTACGGGAAGATCATTGTCTTCTCTGCTGTATATTGTCTATTGGTCTGTTTCTGTTGATCAATAGGAATATTGTTTACTAGTCTGTTGTCTGTGGGTCCATTGTTCGTTGGTCTATTGTCTAATGGCCTAGTGTCTTTTGATCTTTGAACTATTGTCTGTTGTTCTTTTGGTCTATACAATCTTGGTCCAGTGTCTAATGGTCTATTATTTCTACTATTACTATTATTTAAAATTTTCCAGAATTAAAAAAAAATATGTTAAAATGTATTGCTCACACAAACACACACACACACACACACACACACAAACACACACACACACACACACACACGCACACACACACACACACACACATACACTTACACACACACACACACACAAACACACAACTATTGTCTCTTTTTTTTTTTGTCTATATAATCTTTGTCCAGTGTCTATTGGTCTATTATTTCTACTATTACTATTATTTATAATTTTTCAGAATTAAAAAAAAATATATTAAAATGTATTGCTCACACAAACACACACACACACACACACACACACAAACACACACACACACACACACACACGCACACACACACACACACATACATACACTTACACACACACACACACACAAACACACATATAGATTATAGGTGTTCACATACAAACAGAAACACACATAGATGAGAGATGTACTCACACAAGCACAAACACAAACAAAAAAGATGTACATTCATAAATACACTAGAGCAGGGATCTTCAAACGTTTCAGCCCGAGGGCCGCATTAGCAATCAAACAGCAGTTCGGGGGCCGCCTACACACTCGAGGTCGCAATAAAAAGGAATCAAAACATGGATGTTGTTTTTAATTATTTATGTACTATTACTTTGTTCAGTTATTATTTAATAACACATTCATGCACTACATATTATCGCCTGTATTATTGGGAATGATGAAACAGTTACCTGGATGCCAAAATAGCAGACATTTCTGGCTTTAGATTTGATGTCCTTAACATCAACAGTGACCTGAGATTATTATCGGACAAGTTTGTTCTCAAATTGTTCTTCACGCATTTCATATCAGTCCTTCTTTAAACTTGTCCCTAAGGAGGTCATTTACTTGCAATTCAATGACCTCCAGCTGCAGTTCATCAGAATAACTGGCCACATCTGCTTCAAATGGGTTTTAAAACAGTCTCACTTCTTCTGCCTTTGAATCCAAGTCAGAAAACCGCTGCTGAATTGCAGCTGGAGATCTTTGACGATCTCGCATACACATGACGTGGGGGAACTCCGCGCAGTTGCTTCAGCCATGATTACTTGCAATGCTAAAAGTGCGTCAAGTTGTTGGCCTGTAATTGTTTCCCAAAAAAACAAAACAAAAAAAAAAAACAAGACGAATTTGGATCTGAAGGCCTTTAGGTGGGTGTATAGATCAGAAACTAGATTTTCCTATTTTTGTATTTTTAGGTTCAGAAAATTTTAATGAATTCATAAATTCAATTTGTACACTTCCAAAGTACAGACTAGTTATGTCTGCAGCACAGGCCAATTTCCACACCCACTCTTCATCAGCCACTAATGACTGTGACTGTGGCTGTGGCCTTGCCTTTACTTTCCAGGAAGTCACCTATTTCCTTTCTTAACTTAAATACTCTGCTTAGAACTTGTTCACAACTTAGCCATCTTGTTGCTGTGTAATATGGTAAATCTTGCGATTCTGTGTCTGTATCTTTCAACAGGTCTCTGAACTGTCTATGATTGAGCCCATGTAACCTTATTAAATTCACCACAGTATTCAGTACACTGCTAATGTCCACATATTTAGCACACAAAGCTTACTGGTGAATAATACAGTGCAGGAACATTGGTTGTGGAATGTGTTTCTCATTACACATCTGCTTCACTTGTCCAACCAAGCCTTTCTTTATACCACTCATGTTGTTTCCTCCGTCAACAGTCAGGCAACTGAGGTTAGTCCAGTCCATGTTATAATCAGCCAATTTTTTTTTCAACTCATTAAATATATCCTGTCCAGTAACACTGCGGTACATGCTATGCAGGGAAGCCAGCTCCTGTGTTATGTTCATGTCTTCATCCACACCTCTAACGAACACAAGCAATTGAGAGATGGAACAGCTGTCCAGCGATTCCTCCACTGCAATTGAAAAACGGTGAAACTTGCTAGCTAGAGGGCCTCTCGTGAAACATGCGGCCCGTGGGCCGTAATTTGGAGACCCCCTGCACTAGAGTATCGATTTTTCCTAATAACTGTGACTGGGATTGTTTCCGCAATAAATTACTTGCACTAAATCAGTTAGTGTTCACACTATAATCTATTTGACCTGATACACGTTCACATTTTTGTTAGAAAATTTGATTGACCCGTTCTTTTTTGATGACGCCCCTTTCTAACTTTTTTTTGCGCCCTGCCCCCCTCCCTTTTTTTCTACCCGTCAATAATATTTTAAAAAAATATATCTTCTTTAGTTTTATTTATATGAATTTTTTTGTGTGGAAAATATTCTTGACCACTGCTTTACTGTATCGTGTATTTGGTATTGGTCACATCGAGTGACGTCAGCTGACTGGTGGGACTGAAACGAAAACTCAGCACTGGAAAAAAAAATGTTTAAAAAAAAAAAAAAAAAAATTTTTTTTGAGTGATGCCATGATAAAATGTCCCAGGCTACTTTGTCTTTGAGGCTCGGATTTTGTGACCTTTATTATACAGCAAGTTGTCAGATCACATCATCCCACCACTGCTACTCCATGTACACTACACATCATCTCACTATTGCTACTGCATGTAAAGTACACATCAACTCACTATTACTACTACATGTACACTACACAGAATACCACTATTGCTACTTCATGCATGCTACACATCATCTCATTATTGCTAGTCCATGTACACTACACTTCATCCAAATATTGCTACTCCGTGTACACTACACATCGTCTCAAAATTAATTTCTACTCCATGTACACTACACATCACCCCATTATTGCTACTTCATGTTCACTACACATCATCCAACTATTGCTACTCCATGTACACTACACATCATCTCACTATTGCTAGTCCATGTAAACTTCACATCATCCAACTATTGCTACTGCATGTACACTACACTTCAACTCAATATTGCTACTCCATGTACACTACACATCATCTGACTATTGCTAGTCCATGTACACTACACATTATCACACTATTGCTACTCAATGTACACTTCACATCATCCCACTATTGTTAATTCATGTAAACTACACATCATCTCACTACTTTTAATCCATGTACCGTACACATCATTCCACTATTGCTAATCCATGTACACTACACATCTTACCACAATTGGATATCCTTGGACTGTAGGCACATCATCTCATTATTGCTACTGCATGTACAGTACACATCACACCACTATTGCATATCCATTGACAGTACCCATCATCTCTTTATTGCTAATGCATGTATAGGAGACACCACCCAGAACAGCTACTCCATGCAAAGTACGTATTGAAATTTTACTTAGATTCCTTTATAGATTAATAAATGATGTTTTCCGATGTGTGTACACAAACTTTCCGCACCATGCGACTGAGTACGATAATAATAATAATAATAATAATAATTTTTAAAAAGACTAAAGATGTTCAGATTATTGACGCTTCAGATAATAGGCATTCGAAATATCGACACTGCTGTTGATACATGTGATGGCGTAAGACCTTTTACAGGGAAATGGCTTAAACGAGCTGCAAGCATAGACGACCGCCTCCAATAGACGGCATTAGAAATATACATCTACACATTGAAAGAGGCAGCATGTATGCTAAGGTGGTGTGTCTCCGTATGTTATTGCCGTGTGTCCTTGCATGCTACGGCTGTGTGTCTCTGTGAGTTAAGGCTGTGTGTCTATGAGTGTCTATTTGTGTCTGTGTATGTTACTGTGTATTCCGCTGTGTCGCTGTAGGTGAATGTGCGTCTCAGCGTGTTTCGACGTCTCAGTGTGTCACCGGATGTCTCCACCACCCCCCCCCCCTTTTTTTTTTTTAAAGTTTCTGTGTGTCACAGTCAGTGTGTATTACCGTGTGTTACTTTGTGTTGATGTGTGCCTCGCTGCGCCCCAACGACCAACACATGAACACGTTCATGACGTCACCCTTGCACACTGTACAACAACGGTGCGCCGTGTCCGCCATTAGGTTCGCTTACCGGAAATTTGTTTGAAAGAAATTTCGTCGACAGAAAATTGATCGACGTTAGTGTGATCACACGGAAATTCGGTCGAATGCTATTTTCAAGTTCACACGATCAAATTTTGCGCCAAACTCCTTTTTGAGCGCACTCTACTATATAGTTAAACAAAATAAAACAGAAGATGCCATTTTCATGTTTCTCTCAATTTAATAGGTTAATAGTGAGTTGTGTGTTTGGATTAAATTTTAATTAGTTTTTGTATTCTGTAACAATTAATAATGTGGAAGTGTGACGTATTTTAGAGGGGGGTGGGGGTCGGAGATGTGCGTGAGATTGTGACACGGGTTTGGGGGGGGGGGAATAAATTGTCCAATAATAGCGT